ATTTTCACACACCTTGGCTAACCAAATTCGAAGCTATCCCAATAGATCAAGTCAAAAAGATCAAAGCTTGAATAGGAATTTCATAATAATCCCTCTCTGAAATTGGGGTTTTGTCAATAATTCTCCGAAAGGTGATTTCTAGGTGCTTGTGGGGAATCTATAAAACAGAGTACCTAGATGAGTTCCCAAGGCCTCATAGCACCTAAAGATCAATCAAGATCAACCCAAAACCTTCAGATCAAAGATCTTCAACAAAATCACCAAAAGAGGCTAGAAAAGAGGGATTTCCGGGCTTGGAACAAGATAGATAGGTGTTGGACCCCAAAACATGGTTATATGTTTCAAGGATCCCAAAGACTCCCAAAAATGTTCCAAAGATTAATCCAAACCAGCAACATGGAAATCAGAAAAAATAGCCAAAAAATCATCGAAAAAGAGAGATTTCAGATTTGGGAGAGGAGAAGTGAAGAACGAATTTGATCTCTTGATTACTTCACCATTTATGATTATAAGCCACTCCTAGCAGATCTCCAAGCATATAGATGGAGAAAAACCTCAAACAAAGAACCACTCCTCTCTTCCTAGCCCTAACCCGAAAGATCTCAACCTAACAAATGAGAGTCTAATCCCCAAGGCTTCCCAAAAGGCTTGGTCTCCACCACCAGCCATCTCCCGTATATATATAGGCACATGGCTATTTTCAAAGTTGCCCTTACGGCCTTACATGAAGCACTCTAACCAAATACCCGCCGGAGGCAAATCCGTCCAAGTTTTTCCTCATCGATCCAATGGTCATGGTGCCTTCTCAACATTTCTTTGCCTTGATGCAAGCTTTGAGATGCCACCACGTGTCTGCTGATCCGCCGCTATGCTGATCTAGGTGTTTGACCTCCGCCAAGGTTGACGCCTTTGCTTTCTTGTCTACTTGCTCTCGAAACATGAACTATAAGGAAAAGAGTTTTTTTAGCGGAACCACATTGTTTAAAACCAAAATAAAAAGGTCTATGACTACATTTGGAACCCCCAAACAAGGATAGAAAAAATACCATGATGCCAGTCACATGGATGCACGCACGCAAAAAAGGAACAGGAAGATGCTAGCAGGATCAACACGAAGCATCCGTGAGAACTATACCATGCCAAAGCCAACCGCACGTCTCTTTAAGTACCCTCTCCGTTCCAAATTATAAGTCGCTCTGACTTTTTTGGTTCATCCATTTTGCTATGTATCTAGACATATATTATATATAGATACATAGCAAAATAAATGTAAAAAAAAGTCAAAGCGACTTATAATTTGAAACGGAGGGAGTACCTGTGTCTCCTCTCCTAGGCGCAGTCCACAAACCCCCTCCGCTCAGCAGGACCCTAAAAAGGTCCAGTAGCAATATAGAAGCCAAACATGAGTGTGAACAACTAAGACAAGAGCAACGACCGCCCTTGCAACAGGACTGTACTCTGCAATATGTTTAATTTGTTTTTTCATGAAGGTAGTACCTTGTTGTCGTGGGTTCGTAATCACAAGTGATTAGTGGATCGATCGATGGGTTTTTGCGTGGGACTTCGTTGGTTTAACACTCATGACACAAATGATATTCTGGTTCGGGAGTCCAAGCCCTGCGACCACCAGCAGCAAGTTCTTCGTGTTAAAATGCTCAAGCGAGTTATTACAATGGAAGAAAGAGATGGTAGGAGAGCGCTAGCTTGTTCTGATCTTGTTTTTTGGGATTCGTCTTCCTCTAAGGGAGCCTCATATCTACCTTATATCGAAGGATGAGAGAAGTACAAGTAGTACGGGATCTGGTGGCTCCTGCGGCCAATGAGGGAGCGCTAGGGTTTCATGTCCTAATCTTCAAGTCATTGGAGGCGTCCGACGTCGTTCGCTTCTCTAGTGGTCGTGACCAACAGTGTTGCATCATCTTGACAGCGCCTGCAGGAGCCTGGAGCTGACCATCAAAGCCCGAAGATGTTGTTATGTGTCACCTGAGTTCATCCTCCCTCATGGTGTCTGATCTACGCCATAGGGTGGGTGCTTCCTCATGAAAAACTATCGGAGGGACCCATGCGCCCATCTCCTCCCTCATACAGAGACAGCGCACAACCCCTTTGTCATGCTGCGTCATGCCTGGGCATTTCCTCGAATCGGGAGTGGCCGACATTCCCTTATGGGGCTGGGGAGACACAACTCCGGCAGGGTCTACGGCTTTGCACGTGTATCACGCTCTGGGCTTCTGTCAAAGCCTGGCGGAAGATTCCATACATCGCCGAGAATGGATGGTTTATCGAGAAGGTGCCTTACCGAGGCCACGAATCCTAGCCTCTTTGATCGGTCCCGACCTTCCCGAGGCTGCGATGGCCCGAGAACTTACCGAGCCCCTGAGCGTGGGGACGCAAGTGTGTGGTCTCGCTTCGAGGAGTTCTCCCAAGCACCGAGGCCATTTGGGAAGTGGGTCGTCGTGGGCCCGATGGGCCGTTCTAGTTATCTAGTGTGGGCGCACGAGCGTACACACTGGGTGTAGCCCTCGAACCCCTTATTGATTAAGAGAATCAGTTATAGGGTTTTAGTCGCATTGTTACAATGCCAATCTAGGGGTTTAGGTAACCTCACTGTTAGGTAGTCAGCACCTACTTTTTATAGAAAGCAACTCAATCTATAGGATGTTTGTCCGGGTCTAGACGCTGACCTCGCCCTCCACCCCACACTAGCTAGTAAGCTAGCTGCCTAGCCCATAGCCGAGCGCCGCTTAGTAAGCACGCGAATGCAGGAGAGAAGGTCGGGAAGGAGGAAGGGCCACACACGCCATGGATCCGATGATGCAAAGTAGTAAAAAATGATGATGTGGCCACGGTCGGCGACTCAAAACCTTTGCGGTTTCCAAGTAATATAATATACACGTACCGGAAGAAGGAAGAGTGGCGCGCGCGGTGTGGGCCGATCCAGGTGCCGATGAGAGGCCCGCCCAGACGAGGCGATAGACGCGTGACCGGTCGAGTTCCTGTATGGTGGACGACACGCTAGCGGCAAATAAATAGAGATGCATGCAGTGCTGGAGAAGGACCGGCCGGCTGCGTTACTAGCTAGTACTTTGTTTTTCTCTCAGCGCGGAGACAAGGCGGACGTGTCGTCGTCCGTCCGATTGATCTGGCAGCGCGCGGCGGCTTATAGTAGGTAAAACACATATGCATCTATGCTTAATAAAAAAAACACACACACGTATGCATCTAGGACGAGATTTTTTAATTATCGGTAAATAAATATATCAGTGGATTTGTCGTTAATTTCAACGTGGTTAACATTATTGGTTTGCAAAGTGTTGTAGCTTAAACCCTCGTATGTTCTTCTGAATCACGAACTTAGAGTTTGATTTTTTTTTGTTTGTTTGTCACAATGTGAAGCAATCTACTAAGATTCTAAGAACGTTTTTCTTAAACTGATTGGCGTGATTGTTCTCTTTGGATTAGTTGCGGAATTTAGCTAGACTCCTTTCTCCTATCTAAATTCAGGTCAACATGTTTTCTCGTATATGGTCAGAAATCTATGGGGAGTTAAATTTGAGGTTTATTATTAGCTATATATTAGAGCGTCTCCAATATAGTTTCTAAAAAATCACTTGGTAAACTAATAATGAGTTTTCCAAGTGACTAAAAAAAGTTGGGAGTATATTTGTTACCTTCCTCCAACAACTTCCAAAATCTCGCTATTAAAAGATATATAAGGTAATTTTACATCAGGAATCACGTACTCTTTTTGATCACCCTAACTACTTTCGTACTTTCTTTACATTTGTATCTGGAACCCTGTCCTACTTCTTATTTTTTTCCACATCCTTCCATTTTAGGTTCACGATTGGGAGGTGCAGTTGGGAGTTTTGGAGATGTATTTTTTTCGATCTCGCCAAAAATCATGGATTGTGAGATTGTTTTGGAAACTTTTGGGGATGCTCTTACCTTCTCCACGCACTACGAGTGTATATCAGTCAGCCCCTTTGACAGGTAGCCTAACTAGCTAGCTATTGTTAATATACACTGAGCTATTATGTACTCCAATAGCAGCTGTTGATGATAAGATGAGAAATTTATGGACGCCGTTATATATTATATCCAATTCGAATTCCTCTACACATGACCTGCAGACATATCACGGAAAAAAGGAAAGCCCTCGATGGAGGAGTTGTCGACGGAGCCCCGCGGTACGGTGTACCACAACTTCCTTGTGAGTCCCTTGCCTCGTTCCTTTCTATTATTACGCAGAAAAGACCATATGATATTCTACATGCTATCTTTCTCCACTGGTTAATAATTAGGAGACCTCGACCGAGTTGTTTTTGTTTGGTTTTGTGTATATGTTGAAATCTTATAGTCGAGGAGTGGGCGCAGCAAAACACCAAACCACCGTTATATGTTGATGCTTGTGCGATCGAATTTGCTTAGCCGTCAACTAGCTCATTGGCCCTTTTCCACTGAAATTTACCTTGGATTTAATTTATTTGCGAATTAATCCGATCCCTTATTATGGTTTTGTACACTTATGATAGATGCACAAAAGAACATAGTGGGACGATATGGCGGTAGCACTACTGGCAGCTTACTTGAAACGTCTACTAGTATATACAGATGTCATGAGATTTAGTACTAATAGTTTTTTTTTAGCGGAGCAGGACGATGTACGTTGTAATCTTCACCGTCGTAATTTCATACAGTATATATGAATGGGGAGGTTCATGTTATGTTTATCAATTTTTTCTGCTTATTCCCACTTGGCAAAAGATTTTGAACATGTGTATATATGAAGTCATGTCTGTTGGGTGTTGATTTAATTTTAATGTCAGGACTAATTAATTTCTTGTTCATTTGCAACCTGATCCTTTTGTTATTGTCGACTGTCTTTCTGTTCATTTTAGTTTGCTTCACCATGTAATCTGGTAATCACTGAATCCTACGCTGTTCGTTCTCAGTCCAAGAAAGAATGTGACCACTTGATTTCACTGGCAAAGCCCCACATGACGAGGTCCAAAGTAGTTGATTCTCTGACTGGAGAGACAAAGGAAAGCAGGTTTGAGCATTGTTGAAATCCCAATTTCAGGGATGTTACAAGGTTACATTACCAGTGATACTCATTTTGCTTGATGGCGGTATATGCAGTTCTCGAACAAGTTCAGGAATGTCTCTTACAAGAGGGCAGGACACAATTATTCGTACAATTGAGAAAAGGATAGCAGATTACACCTCAATACCAATAGGTATGTACTTCAATTCCTCCATCCGAAAAAGGATGCGATTCTAGCATAGTACTGAGTTAAATCATTTTTGATTTGATTAAGTTTTTACAAAAATGTCAATATGATGAGACTAAATAAGTATAGTTAGCTAGGTTAGTCACGAAATGTATTGCCATAGTCATGAATTTGAACGATCTGTTCTATAAATTTAGTCAAATTTTAAATAGCTTGACTAGTTGCAGACCTAAAATTGCATCGTTCCAGGACGGTGGTATTAGTACGTGGTACCTACCGTGCTTGGGTTTCAAAGTTGATATGTTTTGCCTACTTTTCCGTGAAAAGAATATTTAGTATGCTCACTACATTCGATGTTTGGGTGGTGCTGTTTGACACAGCTAATTACTCGCACATTTGACAAATTGTGTTGCAGTTCTTGGATAGCATGCTCTGTCTACTTCACTCTAACCTTGGAGGTTTCAATGTTATATAATGCATGCCACTATGTCAGATTATTTCACTAAAAACTGCACAATGTAAAAAAGTTGAATGTGCTAATTGTGCACTCACCATTATGTCGTCTCCAAAACTAAGATGGTTAGAACTGTACATCAGGTGCAGTTTTCCTAGAGTGAATGGTTTGACATCTAATTGTGCATTTAAATATATAACAGAGGTAGATGTATACCATCAATAAGAGATACTCTCCCTCCGCTCTAAAGTACGTCGTTTTGACTTTTTTGATACATCAATTTTTGCAATGCATATAGATATATATTATATCTAGATAAATAGCAAATTTATGTAAAAAAAATAAAACGACTTATAATTTGGAACCAGGGGATTACTTTATTAATTCAGCAAATGGAAAACCAGTAACCACCCATAACAGCAAAACCTGATGGGCGCAATGCCATTCGTGTGATCGTGTCGGATTATTTTATTATATTGCACGCAATTTACTTCAAATGCCAGTAGCACCTTTTTTCTTATTTTAATTTAATTGCTTTCCTGCAATTTTGTAGAGAATGGTGAGGGCCTTCAAGTTCTCCACTATGCAATTGGACAGAAGTTCGAGCCTCACTTTGACTACACTAACGTTAGTTTCGTCACAAAAAATGGAGGCCCTCGTATGGCGACTCTACTTATGTATCTGTAAGTATCATTATAATATACTTGTATTCTATGAATATGCGATATTTTTCTGATCAAATTTGAAAAATGTGAGATTATCATTTTTACACGGCAATATTTGAATTTTTCTAGCTCGGATGTTGAAAAGGGTGGCGAGACTGTGTTCCCTAACGCGACAGCAAAAGGCAAGCTGTCTAATCAATGTCTAAAGCTAAAGAGTGGTATATCTGTTAAACCTAAAATGGGAGATGCATTGCTTTTCTGGAGCATGAAGCCTGATGGATCTCGTGATCCCACAAGCCTGCATGGTGAGTTTCACCCAATCTTGTTGCTATGACATATTTTTCAATATACAGTTGATTAAGTGTCATGCCATTTTATTCAACTGCAAATCTCTGCTTTAACTTAGGTGGAAGTCCAGTGATTAAAGGCGACAAATGGTCAGCGACCAAGTGGATGCATGTTAACAAGTACAACTAGAAAACCAGGGGTGATCTTGTCACGTCTTTTGTGTATTTATTTAATTTAAGTAAAGGCTGTTTTACCGTGTACGAGCGGTGTTTCTTAACATGTAGTATATTTTACTTTACCTAGCAATGGTGCTAACTTTTTTCTCCTGCATCTTCACTTATAGCATGTGTTTCATCCACTATAGAAGCATTCATACAAGAAGATAGAAAAAGGAGTGGTTCTTTCGAATCCGAATGCTCAGGTCACCTATTCCAATATTCCATGAAATTGTTTCCTGGTCATGATCATTCTTTATTTTCTTGACAAGGGACTGTTTCTACACCATTTAAAAATAAGGTTAAAGCATATTTGAGCAGCAAATAAGTTAGCTGCAATATAAAAAACAGTACTATAAAAATGATTTTACGAGGCGGTGTCCTTTTATTAACCGAGACAGGAATTTTTTGAGGCTGTTGTTTTCATTTACCGAGGCAGTCACAATTAATTGCCTCGGAAAATCGATTTACGAAGGTGGTAAAAAATAACCGCCTCCTGAAATCTATTTGGAGGCCCATCTCCAAAAATAGCCTCATTTTCAAAGGCGTGCTTTTAATATACACGAGGCCCAACAAAAGCCCATACACTACAATAGAAAGTCAATTCACCACCGGGACCTTCACCAATGTTTTGAGATGACCAGCAGTGATACGTATCACCGCCGGCTCATGACCTATGGGCCCCCTCCTAGCCGAATTACAGGCAGTGATGAACTCTTTCGCCACCGGCTCGGCGTATGATCCGGCGGTGAGCAAAATGCCGGACATCGTTGCCGTGTCGTTTGCCGAACTGGCGGTGGAAGGGTTTTCACCGCCGGTTGCTCGTTCTATATGTCCGACGCCCAGAGAAACTGGCGGAGGTAATAGTTTTTGCCACTGGTGCCAAGATTGACGTGTGCACTACAGTAATATTCGGCGGTGAAGTAAGTTATCACCGTCGGTTTAACGTATGATCCGGCGGTGAAGCAACCATTGTGCGTATTGAATCTAGACCCTTCGTCTGGATTGAAGCCCTAATAAGGCCGGCCGGCCGCCGCCTCCTCCCGCACGGCTGGCCCATTGTTCCTCTCTGGCTATTTGTGTGCAGGCCTCGCGCTGCGCCGCCGCCAGATCCAAAGGCAAGGTATGCTTTCACACTTCAATGATGGATATTTGTCGGATTATTTTCCTCTTTAAGCCTTGTTTGGATGTTGTCAGATCCATCTCAATCCATATGTGTTGAGGTGGATTGCTGTAAAATTTAGCTCAAGATCCACTTCAATATACCTGAACGCATGTGGATTGATCCAAACAAGATCTTAGTGATCTCATTAGTAAGGAAGCTCTCATCCCACTGCACACTGACGATCGCAGGCTCTACGAAATGGAGGAGGCCCCTAGCAAGAGGAATGCACTGGCCAACCTCATAGAGGATGTCGTTCTCGAGATCCTCCGCCGCCTCCCCGCCCGCTCCTTGTTCTGCTGCAAATGTGTGTCGCTCCTAGAACAGCCTCATCTCCGACAACCGTAAGGTGCTGCCCCAGACTGTGGCTGGCTTCTTCTACGACGGAGAGAACGGCATGCGAAACTTCACCAACTTCATCGATGAACGCCCCCCGACTTGTCCTTCTTGCCCTTCCCTAGGGATAATGTAGCTGTCTTAGATTGTTGCAATGGCCTCATCCTATGCTCGTGTGTTGAGGCTGCTGGTGTTGGATCCCGCTATGTCGTCTGCAATCCGGCAACCAAGAACTTGTGGGTACTGCCGCCTAACATCTATGCTGTTGGTCAGGCTCGATTGGGGTTCAATTCGACAGCCTCCCTACACTTCCATGTGATTGAATTTGTGGAGCATGAGGACGCTGAGTGCCTAGGTGTGGAGATCTACTCATCTAAAACTATAAAATGGATCTATAAGGAATCTAAATGGGGCTAGGACATTGATGATATGATACGTTCAAGATTAGCAAGTGTGTTTCTTAACGGTTTTCTACACATTATGGGGTAGTCTGTGATACTTGCAGTGGATATAGAGGAAAAGACATGGAGAAAAATTCTTATGCCTCATGGTACTCTACCCTCCATCCATCAAGCTCAGGGTCACTTGTGTGTATGTATTGTTGGTGGTGTTGGTGGTCACAATATGTCCTAGCTTTCAATCTACATCTTTGAAGACTATGCTACTAATAAATGGACAATGAAGCATACTGTCAGCATGCTAAAAGTGTTTGGAAAGACTAATATTTAATTTGGTTACGTGGATTATGAGTCAGACTACACAGTGATTACAGTTCACCTAGAATGAAATTTAATTTTCTTTGTTGGAAAGGAAAGAAGATTCATCGCGTATGACATGGACTGCAAAAAAGCTCATGACATCCCTACCTGTGTCTTTCGGTATGGTAGACTATGGGAGGGTACGACCCCCGATACCCATGGCAGGTCACATGGGCTGTGGCCCCAGGGGTGGCCCAGCCCTTAAGATCAAGGCGTGCATGGCACTGGTCGACGTGCACCGCAAGATATTGTATAGTACCAAATAGAATACTTTCCTTGTAACCCTACCCCTCCAGAGTATATAAGAAGAGGCAGGGGTCCCCTAGTCGAAATCCACATACAAATCCTAGGCCTAGCCTAAGGCATCTGATCTCACGTAATATCATACGATAGCCAATACAATCCAACAGAACACATGAGTAGGGTATTACGTCATACTGGCGGCCTGAACCTGTCTAACTCGTGTCTCTGTTGCCTTCTTGTTCTTGATTACACGCCTCTCTGTCGATCAATCTACCTTCGTGGGATACCCCTCGGAGGACTGCCGACGATATTCTATCGACAATTGGCACACCAGGTAGGGGAGTGCGTGCTGTTTCCTTGTCGAACAAGATGGCTTTTTCCGCAGGCTCTTCGTTCCTCCCATAGCCCGGCCAGATCTTCACGGTCGGATCAATCTCGTGGATCATCAATGCTGACGGAGTCGGAGAGCTCCTCGAGCCAGTGTAGATCGATTCTGCGCCGATCACCCCACCTCCTGCAACCACAGATCCGATCTCAGAACCGTTTTTGAGGTCGCCTTCATCGACAACTCGCCGCCCGCTTCCTCGCTACTAGAGGAGGCAGATCAATAATGACGATCTGATCGCATCCATCAATCAGGTTGGTTTGAAGCTCGTCGATTGCCTCTCCATCGCCGAATCGGCTCTGGACACTCTGGTTCAGCGCCGATCACCCTTCGATCCAAATTTATCGGAGGCTGCTCGGGAAACTTCAGGGGTTACGGCCCTACCCTTTGGGTTCGCCAACGTCGCCACCGCTTACCAAGATGCCCTAAGGGGCAAATTCGTCGACCAGGTTGGAGTTGTCCATCCTCTCGCCGACCAGATAATGCCATACGCCATCGACCAGACGTTCTACCTAAAGCTAAGTCACGCTTTAATATTTTTCTAAATATTCTCCAATCTCCATATATCACCATATTATTTCTCCGAGCTGTTTTCTCTATATTTGCTCTCCAAACGATTTTCTGAACCCCCGAACAGTCATGTAGATGCTCGAACGCCTCCAGAGATGGCCCTGTCTCCGGCTCCTCCCTACACGTGCTACAGCTCCGCGCTCTGTGTTATGGGTGGTCGGTTGTGGTTCCTTGGTCACGCCTGTTCCTCCTACATGTGCACGGGCTCCACGCTCGACGTTATTGTTAACAAGCTAGCTAAGGCTAGAGACTCAGCTACACACTAACTGTTCGGGCGGTTTATATTAAATATAAATACAGCTTCACACCAACTGATCGCCGAGCTACATACGCTATTTCATCGCCATTGCTGATTTTTCTCCGGAGTTCACATATTTTACATCATGTACTACCCGTTCTACATATTTGTATTGCAGGATCATTGTCCAGGTGATCGGACCACCTGGTGCTCGGACTTCTCCACTGATCAACTGGTCGGACCGCTAGGTTCATCGACTTCGTCGCCGACCAGTTGATTAGACTATTTGTTGGTCGTTCCTACTCAATGCTCACTTCACCATTGATCAGTTGACCGGACTGTTCGTCGCTCGTGCTTCATCATCATCTACGCCGGGGACTCCTCGGCACTTGGGTTCTTCATGCTCGAGGACTAAGTGGGCACACTTCACCTTGCGGACATCGCCAGCTACACTGGGGACTCCTCGGTGCTCGGACATCGCTAGCTACGCCGAGGACTCCTCGGTGCTCGGACATCGCTAGCTATGTCAGGGGACTCCTCGGTGCTCGGACATCGCTAGCGACGCCAGGGACTCCTCGGTGCTCGGACATCGCCAGCGACATTGGGGACTCCTCAGTGCTCAGACATCGCTAGCTATGCGGGGGCCTCCTCGGTGCTCGGACATCGCCAGCTACACCAGGGACTCCACGGTGCTCGGACGTCACCAACGATGTTGGGGTCTCCTCGGTGCTCAGACATCGCCCGCGATGCCGGGATCTCCTCGGTGCTCGGACGTCGCCAGCCACGCCGGGGACTCCTCGGTGCTCGGACGTTGCCAGCTACGCCGGGGACTCCTCGGTGCTCGAATATCGCTAGCCACGTTGGGGACTCCCTCGATGGTCGGATCTTGCTATGCCTCATCAGTGTGCTATCAAGCTGCTCCATGCTATTTGAATCAGGGTGCTGATCTTGGGCAGCACGTCTGGGGTCTTGATACGCGCATGTTAGATGATGTCGGCAAGCTTTCAGACTTCTTTTTCTTTGACCCTGCTACAAGATTCATTCTTCATCTTCCAGCAGGCTCAGGGACTATGTGGGCACACTTCACCTTGCGGTGAATGTGCGCTTTTCAATTCAGGTCTCCACCCGTGGACTGGTTGCCTGCTCGGCCGGTCTTCTGCCTTTCTTCTACTTTCTGACCCTAGCACCATGTGACTACATCACCTACTGTCAGGCTCGGGGACTAGCTGTGGGGGGTACGACCCCCGATACCCACGGCATGTCACATGGGCTGCACCCCTAG